CCTCCGGGTTGGGGGCTGAGGACCCCTGCCCAGGGACCCCCAGGCAGCCCTCAGCAGGCGAACCCTGACGCATCCAGCTGGCCTTCGAAGGGCGAAGCCGTGTGGGTGCAGAGGAGGCTGCCATGCCTGCGAGGCTGCAGTGCCTGGGGACGCAGCCCCGGGTAACCCCAGCTCTTCCCCTTGGCATGCCCCAGCGTGTGAGCCCCTGGTAGGAAACCCCCCCGGTGCCACGGGCTCAGCTGCGACATGCAAGGGGAAGAGCTGCCTGCAACGAGCCACCGGCCGCCCCGGGAGCAAAGGCAGCGTGTGCTCCGGGGTCTCTGCTCTTTCCAAGGCTGCGTGGGTCCTGCTTGGGCAGAGCTTCCCTGCCAGGAATGCACAGCAAGGACAGGCTGGGTGTGGGGGCACAGCCCAGGGCTGGGGCTCCAGGGCTGCGTTTTCCTCCAAGCATCGCGTGGATACAACCCCTGCACGAGGCTGGCAGGGGACCCCCCTAGTTGTGCAAATCTCTGGGACACGGCTTGCAGGGGCTTTGCACGTGAGGATGGCTCTGCCAGAGCAGCGAGGCAGAGGGACGGGGGGACAGAAGGACAAAGGGACAGAGGGATGTCCCTCAGGCAGAGGGACCCTGCCCAGCTTGGGGGGCAGCTGCCACAGGTCAGAGCATCCTCCCACCCACGCAGCATGGCACATCCACCACGCAGCGAAGTGCTGCTGGGAGCATCGAGCCACGGCCACATCCCTTCTCCTGCTCCACAAATCCAGCTGCTGCCTGGACCCAAAACCCTTTTCTCCTCCAACAACTCCAGTTTCTCTTCTGCTGGCTCCCCATGTTGGCAGCTGGGAGGACCTCTGAAGACATCATGGGGATGTTTTGCAGCTCGTCTCACCTTTCCCCCGACCCCTCTCCTCCCTGCACACCTGCCCTGCGCATGTGACGCAGCGGTGGCACGTCCCCGTAGGGATGTGTCCCTCTGGGGATTGCTCCCAGCCTGGGGGGGACCGTCCCCCCGTGCCAGCACTGCAGAAATAGCGGGAGGGGGGGCGGTTCAAGAGAAGAGGATGGAGAGGGACAAACTGCTGGAGCAGGCGAGCGGAGGCAGGAGGGAGCAGAGGAAAGGCGGCTCAATCTGCTCCTCCATGCAGCCCTGCAAACTGGGAGGCGTTTGCTGCCCGTCCTGCTGCCAGCTGGGGTGCGCAGGCAGGAGCCGAGCATGGACGCCAGCACCGCACACCCTGCCCGGAGCCCGGCCGGCTGCCCAGGGCTGGGAGCCTTCGGCCTTGGAGGAAGAGGATGGTCTGCATCCCCAAAGAGGGGGGCAGCTGGCAGAGCTCGGTGTCAGCACTGTGCCACTTCGGCAGTGCTGTGGGAGGGAGATTGCACTCATTTAATTTGAGGTCAGAAAGAAGTTTGTCACTGAATTCTGCATTTCGTTTTTGCCTTCAGAGGTGAGCAGTGGCACCAGGGAGAGAAACTGAGGGAGGGAGTTAATTAAACCATCCCAGCAGGGCGCTCGCCCCCCGCACCCATCCCGCGCTCCCCAGTGCACCCAGCCAGGAGGAGCCAGAGCCAGGGACACGGCAGCTGCTATCCCACCCTCTCCATCCTCCTCCTCACAGCTCCTCTGCCAGATCCCAGGGGCGCAGAGGGGTCTCTGCCTCAGGGCAAGGGTTGGCTGAAGCTTTTCTGTGCCAGCTCAGCTCAGCCTTGCCCCGAGGAGCAGCCAGGACAGACCCGCCAGCGCCTCTTCCAGCAGCAAAGCAGCCAGCGTGCTCCACCGGAGCAGTTAATTAGATGGCAGCGAGGGGTGAGGGCCCAGCTCCAGACAGAAATGAAATCAATCCCCCACCTGGAGGACCTTCCCGTTTCACTGGTGTAATCACCAGCGACTGCCTTACACACCTTATGTGCATAAGGAAACCCAAAGCCCCTGAGAGTGGGGACGAGTGGGTCAGCAGGGGCCCGCTCCGGGAGGTGATGCTCCCAAAATAACTGTGCTACCCAGTGCCCGAGGCCAGCAGCAGTTCAACTTGCAGCAAGGCTGTAACCATGATTTTGCCATGACATGGCATGCAGGGTGGTGGTAGGATCTCAGGGAGAGAAGTGGGGTCCTATGTCTACCCAGGCAGGTTGGGGTCCGGGAGACCCCAGAGCCCTGGTACAGCCGAGCTGCTGGTGCGTCCCTGCGATCGGACAGGATGCAGGGAGCAGCCACCAAAACGTCTCCCTTAGATGTTCACCCCATCCATCAAGGAGCTCAGTGTGTAGTGCAGTGGAGACAGGGTGGGATAAGGGGGTCTCCCACTGCACATCAAACACCCCTGCGCCTTGCAGCACATCAAAGGCATCATCCCAGGGACAAATTCCCTGCTCTGCAAATCCTGTTCGCCTCTCGCCTCCCCGAAAACACCCCCAACACCTACCTCGAGCAGACAGCTTCTTGGTGTTGATGATCTTGGCTGCGTACTCTTGTCCTGCCAACACCTTCACGCATCTTCGGACGATGGAGAAAGCGCCCCTGGGAAGACAAGATGCCGGAGGGAGAGGCTTGGCACAGGCAATGGCACGGCTCAGCCCTAACCCCACGGGCACGGGCACGGGGGGTGGGGACAGGAACGGGGATTGGGATGGGTGCTGGCTGGGGAAGGGGCTTGGAGGAAACACAGAGAGCTCTCAGTGAACTTCCCTGCACCCCTGTTCTTCGGGGATGATGGGGGCAGGCACAGGTAGACCTGAGGATGAATGCAGGATTCGTCTCTCCGTGCTCCCCTGGGACACCCCTGGCATCGTGTGCCTTTCCTCCGCTCCCTCCCAGGCTCTGCCCTGCCTATCCCCCCGGAGAGAGGGGCAGTGATGTACCAGGGGTATCGGCTCCCCACGATACGGGGTTATCGGCTCCCGAGGGACACCAGGATGGCTGCAGCTGCCACGCAGCGCTCGGCCACTTCTCTTCAGTCTGCGTGTGTGTCTCTGCATGCTCTAGACCTTGCAATCACAGCAGCACTTTGCAGAAGCGGGTGTGAGCACCAGCCGTGGGTGCAGGTGAGTGGTGCAAGGTCCCCTCAACTGCAAAACTGTCACAGAGCGGGGCCAGCCCAGAGGAGCCTGTGAGCAAGGACCACCGGAGCCAAGCAGGATGGGGACTGACGATGCTGCGGCTTGCACACATGTGAGCCAACGTGCGGGGGGTCTCCTGGGGCCTTGCAGGCAAATGAGCACGGGTGCTTGGGACCCTCCAAAGAAGCCCGTGTACCCCGCACTCCCAGCCTTGCCA